GGCTGTCGAGGAGGAAAAGGAAAGGGATTGAGGCTGCCGAGGAGGGAAAGGAAAGGGACTGAAGCTGTCGAGGGGGGAAAGGAAAGGGACTGAGGCTGCCGAGGAGGGAAAGGAAAGCGGCTGAGGCTGCCGAGGAGGGAAAGGAAAGGGACTGAGGCTGCCGAGGAGGGAAAGGAAAGGGACTGAGGCTGCCGAGGAGGGAAAGGAAAGCGGCTGAGGCTGCCGAGGAGGGAAAGGAAAGCGGCTGAGGCTGCCGAGGAGGAAAAGGAAAGGGACTGAGGCTGCCGAGGAGGGAAAGGAAAGGGACTGAGGCTGCCGAGGGGATAAAGGAAAGGGACTGAGGCTGCCGAGGGGAGAAAGGAAAGAGACTGAAACTACCGAGGGAGAAAAGGAAAGGGACTGAGGCTGCCGAGGGGGGAGAGACTGAGGCTGTCGAGGAGGAAAAGGAAAGGGATTGAGGCTGCCGAGGAGGGAAAGGAAAGGGACTGAGGCTGTCGAGGGGGGAAAGGAAAGGGACTGAGGCTGCCGAGGAGGGAAAGGAAAGGGACTGAGGCTGTCGAGGGGGGAAAGGAAAGGGATTGAGGCTGCCGAGGAGGGAAAGGAAAGGGACTGAGGCTGCCGAGGGGAGAAAGGAAAGAGACTGAAACTGCCGAGGGAGAAAAGGAAAGGGACTGAGGCTGCCGAGGGGGGAAAGAGACTGAGGCTGTCGAGGAGGAAAAGGAAAGGGATTGAGGCTGCCGAGGAGGGAAAGGAAAGGGACTGAGGCTGTCGAGGGGGGAAAGGAAAGGGACTGAGGCTGCCGAGGAGGGAAAGGAAAGGGACTGAGGCTGCCGAGGGGATAAAGGAAAGGGACTGAGGCTGCCGAGGGGAGAAAGGAAAGAGACTGAAACTGCCGAGGGAGAAAAGGAAAGGGACTGAGGCTGCCGAGGGGGGAAAGAGACTGAGGCTGTCGAGGAGGAAAAGGAAAGGGATTGAGGCTGCCGAGGAGGGAAAGGAAAGGGACTGAGGCTGTCGAGGGGGGAAAGGAAAGGGACTGAGGCTGCCGAGGAGGGAAAGGAAAGGGACTGAGGCTGCCGAGGGGATAAAGGAAAGGGACTGAGGCTGCCGAGGGGAGAAAGGAAAGAGACTGAAACTGCCGAGGGAGAAAAGGAAAGGGACTGAGGCTGCCGAGGAGGAAAAGGAAAGGGATTGAGGCTACTGAAGAGGAAAAGGAAAGGGACTGAGGCTATCGAGGGGGGAAAGGAAAGGGACTGAGGCTACTGAAGAGGAAAAGGAAAGGGACTGAGGCTACTGAGGGGGAAAAGGAAAGGGACTGAGGCTGTCGAGGGGGGAAAGGAAAGGGACTGAGGCTGTCGAGGGGGGAAAGGAAAGGGACTGAGGCTACTGAAGAGGAAAAGGAAAGGGACTGAGGCTGTCGAGGGGGGAAAGGAAAGGGACTGAGGCTGTCGAGGGGGGAAAGGAAAGGGACTGAGGCTGCCGAGGGAGAAAAGGAAAGGGACTGAGGCTGTCGAGGGAGAAAAAGGAAAGGGACTGAGGCTGTCGAGGGAGAAAGGGAAAGGGACTGAGGTTGCGGGGAAAAGGAAAGGGACTGAGGCTGCCGAGGGGGAAAAGGAAAGGGACTGAGGCTGCTGAGGGGGAAAAGGAAAGGGACTGAGGCTGCCGAGGGGGGAAAGGAAAGGGACTGAGGCTGTCGAGGGGGGAAAGGAAAGGGACTGAGGCTACTGAAGAGGAAAAGGAAAGGGACTGAGGCTGTCGAGGGGGAAAAGGAAAGGGACTGAGGCTGCCGAGGAGGGAAAGGAAAGGGACTGAGGCTGCCGAGGGGATAAAGGAAAGGGACTGAGGCTGCCGAGGGGAGAAAGGAAAGGGACTGAAACTGCCGAGGGAGAAAAGGAAAGGGACTGAGGCTGCCGAGGGGGGAAAGAGACTGAGGCTGTCGAGGAGGAAAAGGAAAGGGATTGAGGCTGCCGAGGAGGGAAAGGAAAGGGACTGAGGCTGTCGAGGGGGGAAAGGAAAGGGATTGAGGCTGCCGAGGAGGGAAAGGAAAGGGACTGAGGCTGCCGAGGGGATAAAGGAAAGGGACTGAGGCTGCCGAGGGGAGAAAGGAAAGAGACTGAAACTGCCGAGGGAGAAAAGGAAAGGGACTGAGGCTGCCGAGGGGGGAAAGAGACTGAGGCTGTCGAGGAGGAAAAGGAAAGGGATTGAGGCTGCCGAGGAGGGAAAGGAAAGGGACTGAGGCTGTCGAGGGGGGAAAGGAAAGGGACTGAGGCTGCCGAGGAGGGAAAGGAAAGGGACTGAGGCTGCCGAGGAGGGAAAGGAAAGGGACTGAGGCTGCCGAGGAGGGAAAGGAAAGCGGCTGAGGCTGCCGAGGAGGGAAAGGAAAGCGGCTGAGGCTGCCGAGGAGGAAAAGGAAAGGGACTGAGGCTGCCGAGGAGGGAAAGGAAAGGGACTGAGGCTGCCGAGGGGATAAAGGAAAGGGACTGAGGCTGCCGAGGGGAGAAAGGAAAGAGACTGAAACTGCCGAGGGAGAAAAGGAAAGGGACTGAGGCTGCCGAGGGGGGAAAGAGACTGAGGCTGTCGAGGAGGAAAAGGAAAGGGATTGAGGCTGCCGAGGAGGGAAAGGAAAGGGACTGAGGCTGTCGAGGGGGGAAAGGAAAGGGACTGAGGCTGCCGAGGAGGGAAAGGAAAGGGACTGAGGCTGTCGAGGGGGGAAAGGAAAGGGATTGAGGCTGCCGAGGAGGGAAAGGAAAGGGACTGAGGCTGCCGAGGGGATAAAGGAAAGGGACTGAGGCTGCCGAGGGGAGAAAGGAAAGAGACTGAAACTGCCGAGGGAGAAAAGGAAAGGGACTGAGGCTGCCGAGGGGGGAAAGAGACTGAGGCTGTCGAGGAGGAAAAGGAAAGGGATTGAGGCTGCCGAGGAGGGAAAGGAAAGGGACTGAGGCTGTCGAGGGGGGAAAGGAAAGGGACTGAGGCTGCCGAGGAGGGAAAGGAAAGGGACTGAGGCTGCCGAGGGGATAAAGGAAAGGGACTGAGGCTGCCGAGGGGAGAAAGGAAAGAGACTGAAACTGCCGAGGGAGAAAAGGAAAGGGACTGAGGCTGCCGAGGGGAGAAAGGAAAAAGACTGTCGAGGGGGAAAAGGAAAGGGACTGAGGCTGCCGAGGAGGGAAAGGAAAGGGACTGAGGCTGCCGAGGGGATAAAGGAAAGGGACTGAGGCTGCCGAGGGGAGAAAGGAAAGAGACTGAAACTGCCGAGGGAGAAAAGGAAAGGGACTGAGGCTGCCGAGGGAAAAGGAAAGGGATTGAGGCTACTGAAGAGGAAAAGGAAAGGGACTGAGGCTGTCGAGGGGGGAAAGGAAAGGGACTGAGGCTGTCGAGGGGGGAAAGGAAAGGGACTGAGGCTACTGAAGAGGAAAAGGAAAGGGACTGAGGCTGTCGAGGGGGGAAAGGAAAGGGACTGAGGCTGTCGAGGGGGGAAAGGAAAGGGACTGAGGCTGTCGAGGGGAAAAGGAAAGGGACTGAGGCTACTGAAGAGGAAAAGGAAAGGGACTGAGGCTGCCAAAGGGGGAAAGGAAAGGGGACCGAGGCTGCCGAGGAGGAAAAGGTAAGGGACCAAGGCTGCCGAAGGGGGAAAGGAAAGGGACCGAGGCTGTCGAGGGGAAAAGGAAAGGGACTGAGGCTGTCGAGGGGAAAAGGAAAGGGACTGAGGCTACTGAAGAGGAAAAGGAAAGGGACTGAGGCTGCCAAAGGGGGAAAGGAAAGGGACCGAGGCTGCCGAGAAGGAAAAGGTAAGGGACCAAGGCTGCCAAAGGGGGAAAGGAAAGAGACTGAGGCTACCGAGTGGGGAAAGGAAAGGGACCAAGGCTGCCAAGGGGAAGAAGGAAAAAGACTGAGGCTGCCGAGGGGAAGAAGGAAAGGGATTAAGGCTGCCGAGGGGGAAAAGGAAACAGACCGAGGCTGTTAGGAATGGTGGGAGTTGGAGTCCAACACACCTGGAGGGCGGTCCCAAGTTTTGAGGTGTGCAGAGGCACATTTGCGTCCATGCAAACACACACACACACACACACACACACATATACACACATAAAACACATATACACAGTCTGGGCCACAGCAATTCATGGCAGGGGACAGCTAGTAATATAATATAATATACTATATCTATAGCATCTCTACTATTAGCCCTAGCTCCTGCCAACCTAGCAATTCAAAAACATGCAAATGTGAGTAGATCAATAGGTACCACCTCGGCAGGAAAAAGCAAAAAAGATGTTCCATGTAATCATACCAGTTGTGCAACCGGGAGGTGTTTATGACAAGGGTGGTACAAAGGACTCTTGTCTGTTGGAGCTAGGGGTGAATGTTTCAACTGACCACCTTGATTAGCATTTGATGGCCTAGAAGTGCCTGGATCAAACTTTTGTTGAGAGGTGATTAGCTGTCCTTGGATATCTAAAACAAGGACATCTAATCACCTCTCAACAAAATTTTGCTCTAGGCACTGTCAGGCCATTATATGGTAATCAAGGTGGTCAGTTGAAACATTCACCCCTAGCTCTAGCAGACAAGAGTCCTTTGTCCCGCCCTGGTCATTCCACAGATAGATGTAATTAGATGTCCTTGTTTTAGATGTCCAAGGACATCTAATCACCTCTCAACAAAAGATTGCTCCGGGCACTGCCAGGCCATCAAATGCTAATCAAGGTGGTCAGTTGAAACATTCACCCCTAGCTCCAGCAGACAAGAGTCCTTTGTCCCACCCTGGTCATTCCACAGAGATATAAACCATTTTTCCTAGTTCCAACAGACCTCACTACCTCTGAGGATGCTTGCCATAGATGCAGGCGAAACGTCAGGAGAGAATGCCTCTAGAACATGGCCATATAGCCTGAAAAACCTACCGTACAACAATCCTATATTTATAATTATTTATTTCTACCCCGCTTGATCTCCCCGCAAAGGGGACTCCAAGCACTGTTGCCCATCCTTCCTTAGGTCTTTCTTACCTTGGGAGAGGCGTGTGGGGCGAGAGACCGCCAGGCCGTCGATGGCGCAGGGGCTGCCGCAGGGGTGGAGGGTGAGGGTCCCGCGCACGTTCTCAATGAAGCAGTGCTGGGGGGCCACACTGGGGCCTTGCAACACAATGTCGCTCGTTGCCGCCGAGCCCAGCACTGTCCTACCTGGAAGGAGAGAAGGGAGGAGAGCTCAGAAGGAGACACAGGTGTTCCCCTGCTCCAATTTGGCACAAATACCCAAAACGCCCAAATGTGAACACTGGTGGAATTTGGGGAAAATAGACCTTGACATTTAGGAGTTGTAGTTGCTGGGGTTTATAGTTCACTTACAATCGTACAAGCATTCTGAACTCCACCAATGATGGAATTGAACCAAACTTGGCACACAGAACTCCCATGACCAAGAGAAAATAATGGAAAGGTTTGGTGGGCATTGACCTTGAGTTTGGGAGTTGTAGTTCACTTACTCAAACAATGATAGATCTGGACCAAACTTGGAACAAATACTCAATATGCACAAATGTGAACACTGGTGGAGTTTGGGGAAAATAGACCTTGACATTTGGGAGTTGTAGTTGCTGGGATTTATAGTTCACCTACAATCAAAGAGCATTCTCGACTCCACCAATGATGGAATTGAACAAGAGAAAATACTGGAAGGGATCGGTGGGCATTGACCTTGAGTTTTGGAGTTGTAGTTCACCTACATCCAGAGAGCACTGTGGACTCAAACAATGATGGATCTGGACCAAACTTGATCAATATACTCAATATATACTCAGTATGTCCAAATGTGAGCACTGGTGGAGTTTGGGAAAATAGACCTTGACATTTGGGAGTTGTAGTTGCTGGGATTTATAGTTCACCTATAATCAAAGAGCATTCTGAACCCCACCAATGATAGAATTGGGCCAAACTTCCCACACAGAACCCCCATGACCAACAGAAAATACTGTGTTTTCTGATGGTCTTTAGTGACCCCTCTGACACCCCCTCGGGACCTCCTCAGAGGTCCCGACCCCCAGGTTGAGAAACACTGTGGTAAACACATTATTGTATGGTTACTTAACTCATAGACATATTCTGCCAGCATCTCCCTGAAGGGACTCAGGGTGGCTTAAACACAAAACACATTTAACAGGATGACACCAAATGACTATATGTTTTAATGGTTTTTATATATGTTTTTATATTGTTATGTTGATTGTTTTATTTATACTTTTATGAATGCATGGCATCGAATTGTGCCAATCTGTAACCCACCTTGCGTCCCCATATGGTTGAGAAAGGTGGGGTATAAATATTGTAAATAAATAAATAAAACACAACAAAAGATTGCCCAAATCAGTGAGCAACACCAAATAACATAAAATAACAACTTACAATAATTGACAGAATACAACTCGAATTCAAATAAAAAGTGGTGCAATGAGTTAGACCCTTTTGCTACTGCTGACCTGAGGGTTGGCAATTCAAATCCACGGGATGGGGTGAGCTCCTGCTGTTAACCCTAGCTCCTACCAACCTAGCAGTTCAAAAACATGCAGATTTTTTTTGTCGTGTCAGGAGCAACTTGAGAAACTGCAAGTCGCTTCTGGTGTGAGAGAATTGGCCGTCTGCAAGGACTTTCCCAGGGGACACCCGGATGATTTGATGTTTTTATCGTCCTCGTGGGAGGCTTCTCTCATGTCCTTGCATAAGGAGCTGAAGCTGATAAAGGGAGCTCATCCGCCTCTCCCCGGATTTGAACCTGCGACCTGTCGGTCTTCAGTCCTGCCGGCACAGGGGTTCAACCCACTGCGCCACCGGGGGCTCCAGATGTGAGTAGATCAATAGGTACTGCTTTGGCGGGAAAAGGCATTAAGACGCTCCAAGCGGTCATGCCGGACACACGACCAGGAGATGTCTATGGACAATGCCGGCTCCTCTCAATAGGTGTCACTTTGGCATTAAAACGGTCCAAGCGGTCATGCCGGCCACATGACCAGGAGGTGTCTATGGGCAATGCTGGCTCCTCTGAGCACATCACCCAGAGTCAGAGATGAGCATCGCCTCCAGAGCCGGAAATGAAAGGAGAAGCCTTTGTCTCTGTGTGTGTGTGTGTCATTGTAATAAGGCACTGAGTCTTTGCCTGTTTTTGCTTATAGACTTTGAGTCCTCTCGGGGAGAAGGGTGGAATATAAATAAAGTGTGATGATGATTCCAGCAGGTAAACTGGTTGGGATTTCTGAGAGTTGAAGCACCGGGATTGTGGTGCAGCTGGCTGAGTGTCAGCTGCATTAAGATCACTCTGACCAAAGGTCATGAGTTCGAAGCCAGCCCGGGTTGGAGTGGGTTTCCAACCAATTGTGTGTAGCCTGTTGTCGACCTTTGCAACCCGAAAGACAGTGCATCTGTCAAGTAGGAAAATTAGGTACCACCTTAAAGTGTGGGGAGGCTAAATTAACTGATTTATGAGGCCATAAAGAAGACTCCAGCAAAGCATTCCAGCGGGGAAGCATGCGGAATGCGGAAGTGCTTCATCAGCATCGCAGATGGACGATGAAAGCGACAGCTCCCCTGGCGGCCAGAAAAAGTTAAATAGCCTCTGTGTATGTCTGTATATGTTTGTATGTCAAAAATTGGCATTGAATGTTTGCCATATATGTGTACACTGTAATCCGCCCTGCGGGGTGATAAGGACAGAAGAAAAAAGCTGTAAATAAATACATAAATAAATGTAGATTGACTCCATATAATGGACTTTCTGATATTTATGTTATGAATTTCCGGTCTTCATGCCGACACCTATGTTTTTAATATTTTAAAGTTTTCCACTCTTGGTCTGTGACTATAATATTCAATCCAATCCACTCTAGAAAGTGCTAGAAGCCCCCTCCCATTTTGCGATCTGTGGGAAAGACCCTTACCCTCCTCGAGGGGCAGGAGCGTGATGGCGGTGCTGAGGCGCCCGCTGCCCAGGCTGACCAGGTGAGGCTTCTCCGCTTGGACCTTCAGCCCTTTGCCCGACTCCGTCAGGTCCAGCAGGCTGTTCTGTTGTGGAGGAAGGAGAGGAGGAGGGCGGTCACAACACTGTCTGTATTACGCCACAACTTTGTGTGTGTTACGACAGCTCCACTGGCTACCCATTAGCTTCCAAGCACAATTCCAAGTGCTGGCCTTGACCTATAGTTTGGTTCTCCTCCTGGACTCATCACTCACGCTTGAGGATCAGGTGTCGGCGGTGGCCGGGAGGGCCTTTGCACAATTAAGACTCGTGCGCCAACTGCAATCGTACCTCGTGAAGGCGGATCTGGCCAGGGTGGTCCATGCCTTAGTCACCTCCAGATTGGACTACTGTAATGCAATCTACGTGGGGCTACCCTTGAAATTTCAATTGGTTCAACGAACGGCGGCCAGGTTGCAGCCCCCCCACATAGAGCGCATAACAGTAGTCCAGTCTGGAGGTGACTAAGGCATAGACCACCCTGGCCAGAGGTACGGTCGCAGTTGGCGCACAAGTCTTAATTGTGCAAAGCTGTTAGGAATTGTGGGAATTGAAGTCCAAAACACCTGAAGGGCCCAAGTTTGCCCATACCTGCTCTATATTGTTTTGGAATGAGAACTGTGTGTGTGTGGGGGGGGGGGGGGGAGGTCTTTTTCATGGGGAGGGAATCCCTGGGCCCTGAAATCCAAGTTCTTAGCTCTATCTAATGGGATCTGCAGGCAAACCAATTAAGCCAAAGGGATTGGCGGGCGATCCCCTTGATCTGCAAAGCGCTGGAGATACACTTAGCAAAAGGAGGTGGCCTTCCTCCTTCGTGGAGACTCCAAAGAGGAGGAAGAGGCCATGGGGTGGGGTGGCCGGGGGGGGGGGGCACCCAAGTCCCACCCTAAGCCTCACTCCTGGCTTCTTCTCCACTCTCAATGTATTTATGTGCTAATTGTTCTTTGCAGAACTGTCCCTTTTTGGGGGATCTGCAGCTCCATAAGTCAGCTCTGCAGCCATCCTAGTGGATGTAAAGTTTGGGAAACTTGTCCCCCCAAAAGAAACTTCCCAAAAATCTGCTTCCAGAGCACAAGGAATAAATAGTTTGCCTTTTGCTCTGCAAGACAAGTTTGGGAAACCTGCCCTCCCCCCCCCCAAAAAAAAGAAACTTCCCAAAAATCTACTTCCAGAACACAAGAAATAAATAGTTTGCTTTTTGCTCTGCAGGACAAGTTTGGGGAAACTGCCCCCCCCCCAAAAAAGAAACATCCCAAAAATTTGCTTCCAGGGCATAAGAAATAAATAGTTTGCCTTTTGCTCAGCAAGACAAGTTTGGGAAACCTGCCCCTCCCCCCCAAAAAAAGAAACTTCCCAAAAATCTGCTTCCAGAGCACAAGAAATATATAGTTTGCCTTTTGCTCTGCAAGACAAGTTTGGGAAACCTGTCCCCGTCATCCAAAAAAAGAGAAACTTCCCAAAAATCTGCTTTCAGAGCACAAGAAATATATGCCTCACTACCTCTGCGGATGCTTGCCATAAATGCAGGCGAAACGTCAGGAGAGAATGCCTCTAGACCATGGCCATACAGCCCGAAAAAACCTACAACAACCCAGTGATTCCGCCATGAAAGCCTTCGACAAAATAAATACATTCAGCACTCCCCCCCCCCCAAAAAAAAAGAAATTCCCAAAAATCTGCTTCCAGGGCATACGAAATAAATAGTTTGCCTTTTGCTCTGCAAGACAAGTTTGGAAAACCTGCCCCCCCCCCCCCAAAAAAATAAACTTTCCAAAAAATCTGCTTCCAGGGCATAAGAAATAAATAGTTTGCCTTTTGCTCTGCAAGTTTGGGAAACCCGTCCCGCCAAAACTAACTTCCGAAAAATCTGCTTCCAGAGCACCAAAAAATCAAATAGTTTTTCTTTTGCAAGACCCTGGCCCTAATAGGTGGGCCTCCCTGAAGCCAATGCCTTCCTGACTTCCTTGCCTGCAACCTGTCTCATTGGCATCAGTCGTGCAAAGTCCATCGAATTGCCTGTTCCTGGTTTGCAGGATCTGTTTATCCATGCCACAGCCCCCCCCCCCACAAAGCCCCTTCTCACCTGGAGGGAGCTCTGCCCTGAGCAAGGGGGGCTGCTCACTTTGCGGCTGCAGCTCTCCATGGCTGCCCACCTGGACCTCCTCCTTCTTCAGCCTCTCCTGCAGGAAAGAAGGGAGTGCATCAGGTTCCTTGCAAAGCTCCGCACCTGGGAGACCCTTCCCCTCCCTCCTCTTTCCTCTCCGGGGCCCCTTTCCTCGACCCTTGGCTCCCAGCCTTTGCTTCCAACCCTAGACAGCGATGATGCGCAGGCGTGGAATGCGCCCTGCTCCCTCCGGCTGTGTTTCTTGGGGCTTGAAGAAGGGATCACGCTGGATTTGGGGATTACAAAGAGCCGCCCGCCCCCATCTCTGCATCTGCTCACCTCCGCCCCCCCCCTTCCCCAGCTGCGGCCCAGATTACATGCATTAGGGGGGAGGGCCACCCTGGAGGTCCACGAATGCGGTTGTGGATGTGCAAAGCATGTGCTGCCCCGCCGGGCATGGCGGTGGGCACACAAAGAGCGGCACTGTGCCTTCTCTCTCGCTAGCCTCACCCCTCCGGCCCTGGTACTTCTCCTCGATTGAGCTCTGTGCTGCTTCCCATCATAGAACAACTCTGTTTAGAAGCTGGGTGCCAAAATACTCCTTCCTCTGGGCATGGCAGCCTTTCATCTCACATGGGCACAGAGCGCAAGGGAGTGCTAGGGCCAGAGAGGTGAGGCTAGACTAGGTATGAGCCAACTTTGGCCTTCCCTCCAAGTGTTTTGGACTTCCACCGTTCCTAACAGAATGAAGCCGTTGGGGGAAATCATCCGGAGTTTCGGAGTGCAGTGTCATCTGTATGCAATGATGTCCAGCTCTGTCACTGCTTTCCACCTGCTACTGTTCAAGTCCTGAACCGGTGTTTAGCAGCTGTAATGGACTGGACGAGACCGAACAAATTGAAACTGAATCCAGACGAGACAGAGGTCCTCCTGGTCAGTCGCAAGGCCGAACAGGGCATAGAGTTACAGCCTGTGCTGGACGGGGTCACACTCCGTCCAGCACAGAACCTAAAGGTGCAGGTTCGCAGCTTGGGAGTGATCCTGGACTCATCGCTGAGCCTGGAAGCCCAGATTTTGGTGGTGGCCAGGAGAGCTTTTGCACAATCAAAACTTGTGTGCCAGCTGCACCCGTACCTTGTGAAGTCTGACTTGGCCACGTTGGTCACGCTCTGGTTACATCCCAAATAGACTACTGCAGTGCACTCTACGTGGGGTTGGCTCTGAAGACTACCCGGAAACTTCAACTAGTCCAACGGTCGGCAGCCAGGTTGCTAACCGGAGCTGGGTACAGGGAGCACACAACGCCCTTGTTACGCCAGCTCCACTGGCTGCCTATCAGCTTCCGAGAACAATTCAAAGTGATGGCTTTGGCCTATAAAGCTCTGGACAGTTCTGGCCCAGTTTACTTGTCCAAACGTATCTCCATCTAGGGCCCTGACAGGTCCGTAGCCAGAATTTTGTTTCGTGGGGAGCTGAGTTTGATTCAGGGGGGGATGAATCTGAGTGAAAGAGAGTCTACCCTAGCAAACCTTTTGTATCGTTACCCCAATACCCCCATGCATATGGGATATATTGAGCATGGTGATCAGATCATGATATGAATAAACATAACAGTTTAAATAATATACCAGTAATGCATTCTTGCAGACCACCATGAGAAATTGGGGGGGGGGGCTGAAGCCCCTCAAGCCCCCCCCCCTACATGCCTGGGCTCTGACATCATCCGGGGAGACCCTGCTCACTGTCCCCCTATTATTACAATCGCATTTGGTGGGGACAAGGGACAGGGCCCTTTCTGTGGTGGCCCCTCGGCTGTGGAACTTCCCCCCAAGTGAAATTAGATCTGCTACATCCCTCTTGACCTTTCGGAAACAAGTGAAATCCTGGCTATGGGATCAGGCCTTTGTAGATTAGGTGGACCTGCTGACATGACGGCTTTTGTGGAACTGACTGACTGCTCCTTGGACGATGACTTAAACCGGCGATTATTGACTTTTTGATTGTCTTTATACTGTTTTATTGCTATATTGATATTTAAATTGTATATTTATGTTTTGGTTGGGTCGTTGTAGGTTTTTTTGGGCTATATGGCCATGTTCTAGAGGCATTCTCTCCTGACGTTTCACCTGCATGTTTTGGTTGGGCACCATGGGGTGCCGTTTCGTTAGCCGCCCTGAGTCCCTGTGCGGAGATTGAGATAGGACGGGATACAAAGGTCCGAAATACATAAATATTCCCCCTCAGCTGCTTAAGCTGTTTAAAATGGTGGAAGTCCAAAACACTTGGAGGGAAGGCCAAAGTTGGCCCATGCATAGCCTAGCCTCGCCCCTCTGGCTCTATCACTCCCACTCCCTTGTGCTCTGTGTCCATGTGTGCCATGCCCAGAGGAAGGAGTATTTCGGCATCCAGCTTCTAAACCGCCCTTCTGCCCTCTTGGGATGGAGCTCCTTCTATGGAAGGAGGAGATGATGGGAAGCAGCACAGAGCTCAGAAGAGGAGAAGTACCAGGACCAGACGGGTGAGGGCTGAAGTTGGCGCTTGCCTTTCCTTACCTTGCTCCTCCATTGCTGCCCAACCCTAGAAGAAGAGGAGCTGAGGAGGAAAAGGAAGGGGCCTGAGGCTATTAGGAATGGTGGAAGTCCAAAACACTTGGAAGGAAGGCCAAAGTTGGCCCATGCGTAGTCTAGCCTCACCCCTCCGCCTCTAGCACTCCTGCTCCCTTGTGCTCTGTGTCCATGTGTGCCATGCCCAGAGGAAGGAGTATTTCGGCATCCAGCTTCTAAACCGCCCTTCTACCCTCTTGAGATGGAGCGGTTCTATGGAAGGAAGAGATGATTGGAAGCAGCACAGAGTTTAAAAGGGGAAAAGCACCAGGGCCGGAGGGGTGAGGGCCAAAGTTCCTTGTTCCTCCATTGCTGCCTAACTCTGGAAGAAGATGAGCTGAGGAGGAAAAGGAAGGGGCTTGAGGCTATTAGGAATGGTGGAAGTCCAAAACACTTGGAAGGAAGGCCAAAGTTGGCCCATGCGTAGTCTAGCCTCACTCCTCCGCCTCTAGCACTCCTGCTCCCTTGTGCTCTGTGCCCATGTGTGCCATGCCCAGAGGAAGGAGTATTTTGGCATCCAGCTTCTAAACCACCTTTCTGCCCACTTGGGATGGAGCTGTTCTATGGAAGGAAGAGATGATTGGAAGTAGCACAGAGTTCAAAAGAGGAGAAGTACCAGGGCCGGAGGGGTGAGGGCTGAAGTTCCTTGTTCCTCCATTGTTGCCTAACTCTAGAAGAAGAGGAGCTGAGGAGGAAAAGGAAGGGGCCTGAGGCGATTAGGAATGGTGGAAGTCCAAAACACTTGGACGGAAGACCAAAGTTTGCTAGAATGTGGTCTGGATATAGCACAGTGCTACTCTCTGTGCGTCCACCTCCATACCCGTCGAGGCAGCACATGCTTCACATAGCCGTTTGGAGTCTCCTTAGTGGAGAGAAAAAGCAGGGTATAAATTTATTTATTTATTTATTTATTTATTTATTACTTGCACTTGTTAACCGCCACTCTCAGCCCGGAGGCGACTCGTGGCGGTGTACAAAACATAGAAAAGACAACAATTTACAGTGGAACAAGACCATCACACAACATATAAAAATCCGCTTCGTCTAGATTAGGGTCATAGTCAATCTCATCGTCATAGTCCATTCCGGTGATCATTCCAAGGAAACATAGCACTAGCTAAAGGCCTTTTCGAAGAGCCAAGTTTTCAGGCCCTTGCGAAAGGCCATGAGGGAAGGTGCCTGTCTGATTTCAGCAGGGAGGGAGTTCCATAGCCGGGGGGCCACCACCGAGAAGGCTCGCTCTCTCGTCCCCGCCAGGCGTGCCTGCGAGGCAGGCGGGACCGAGAGAAGGGCCTCCCCAGATGATCTCAAGGTCCTCGTGGGCTCGTAGGCCGAGATGCGGTTTTCAAGGTATTTTGGGCCGGAACCGTTTAGGGCTTTGTAGGATAGCACCAGCACCTTAAATTGGGCCCGGTAGCAAATCGGCAGCCAGTGGAGCTGGGACAGCAAGGGCGTTGTGTGCTCCCTGCGTCCCGCTCCAGTTAACAACATGGCTGCCGCGCGCTGGACTAGCTGAAGCTTCCGGGCCGTCTTCAAGGGCAGCCCCACGTAGAGAGCGTTGCAGTAGTCAAGGCGGGATGTGACCAAAGCGTGTACCACCGTGGCCAAGTCAGACTTCCCAAGGTACGGGCGCAGCTGGCGCACGAGCCGAAGCTGTGCAAATGCTCCCCTGGTCACCGCTGAAACCTGGGGATCCAGGCTCAACGATGAGTCCAGGGTCACACCCAAGCTGCGAACCTGCGCCTTCAAGGGGAGTGCGACCCCGTCCAGCACAGGCTGTAACCCTATACCCTGTTCGGCCTTGCGACTGACCAGGAGTACCTCTGTCTTGTCTGGATTTAATTTCAGTTTGTTCGCCCTCATCCAGACCATTACAGTGGCCAGGCACCGGTTCAGGACCTCGACAGCCTCCTTAGTAGCAGGTGGAAAGGAGTGACAGAGTTGGACGTCATCTGCGTACAGATGACACCGCACCCCGAAACTCCGGATGATCTCACCCAGCGGCTTCATGTAGATGTTAAACAGCATGGGGGACAGTATGGAACCCTGAGGAACACCGCAGGTCAACGGCTGTGGTGTTGAACAGGAGTCCCCCAATAACACCTTCTGGGTACGTCCCTCCAGAAATGATTGGAGCCACCGCAAAGCGGTGCCCCCAAGGCCCATCTCTGCAAGGCGTCCCAGAAGGATACCGTGGTCGACGGTATCGAAGGCCGCTGAGAGGTCCAGGAGCACCAACAGGGACACACTCCCCCTGTCTAGCTCCCGGCGCAGATCATCCACTAAGGCGACCAAGACCGTCTCGGTTCCATGTCCCGGTCTGAAACCAGACTGTGCCGGATCCAGATAATCCGTGTCTCTCAAGAATACCTGGAGTTGTGAGGCCACCACGCTTTCCATGACTTTGCCAAAAAAGGGAAGATTGGAAACAGGCCGAAAGTTGTCCAATTTAGTGGGGTCCAGTGATGGTTTCTTCAACAGCGGCTTTATAATAGCCTGTTTTAGGCTCGCTGGAATTTTGCCTTCCCGAAGGGAGGCATTAACCACCACCGTTACCCACTCAGCCAATCCCCCTCTGGCCTCTTTCAGAAGCCAGGATGGGCAGGGGTCTAGGATGGACGTGGTGGGCCTCATTCCTCCAAGTATCTTGTCCACATCCTCGGGCTTCACAAACTGAAAAGAATCCATCAAAATAGGACAAGCAGGTGC